GAAAATCAGAAGTTTTCATAGGAGAACACGTGAAATAGGTTTGGCTTGTCTCAGATTTGTACAGATCTGAGAAGTTTAAGAGACGAAATTAGGGTTTCGAGAAAATAACCCAGAGATAAAAATATCGGCTTAGAAAGCATAGGTTTAGCCGAAAAATAGGAAGATCTTACTGGAGATCGATCCATGAAGGCCTGAGACAGGCCAGGCCAGGATTGAAGTCATAGGTGGACTGGCCCTGGTCCCTTGAGGACCTCAAAGATAGCAGAAACCCGGCGTAGGAGACCCATTAGAGGCTTGAGGGTGGTGATAATCCACCATGATAGACGGCAGGTAAGTGGCGGCGGAGGGGATTAGGGTTGGGATTTGAGAGAACTCGAGAGAGAGAAGGGAGATGGGTGACGGCGGGGTGGTGGTAAGAATGATTAGGGTTTTGGGGTATAGATTAGTTTAATTATGGAAATGGGGAACCTGGACCGTTGATCAAAATGATCAACGGCCAGGATTTGGCCGGGTATTGGGTTGGGCAGATGGGTATTTGGGCCTGGAGTTTCTAGGCTGGTTTAAAGGTTTAAATTGGGCCAATTAATAGGCTAAGTTTTAAATAAAAAGGGGCTACTTGTTAAATACGTAATTAATTGCTAAACAATTTTAAAAAATGGTTAATAAATTATAAAAAATAATTTTAATGCATGAAAATGTATTAAAGTAATTACTTAATATTTTTAAAAAAATATAAAAGGCTATTTTCCAGTAAAATAATGTAATGATGCATGCGTAGGCTACAACTGCAAAGTAATTACAATTGTATCCTAAAAATACAGATGTGGCTATTTGTGCAATAATCGAAATGTAATACGAATGCAAATGATAAAATTAAGCCAAAAAAATTATTAAAACTATTTTGTGATGCAATTTAATGATTGTTTTATAAAATAAATGCTGGGAGAAATTAGTTAAAATATTTTTTTTTTAAAATGCAGAAATTGTATGAAAAATACTAATTGATGCCCATGCATAGTTTTGAAATATTACGGGAAAAATTGGGTATAAACATCTGCTGAAGTACATGGCATGTCGACTGTCTCTGCAACCACCATGGAGGGCTCGTCAGACTGGCCCGCAGTAGTAGGAGGCTGACCCTTCTTCTTTGGGTTTCCCTCACTCATCAAAGAATACCATGAGAAGGGCTTCTTCGCCCGCACCTTAGTATCAAAATCTCTCGGCTCCACCCGTGCACTCGTAAGGTACTTAGTAATGGTGTTAGGATACGGGTAAGAGGTATCAGCTTGCTTGGCGACCACAGATATGTTGGCCGACATCACGGGACCCATATTGATTGGGTACCCGACCATGATGGAGGCGACTAGAATTGCCCGCGGGATCGAAAGGTATGTCTCATTCTTACTCGAGTCTAGTCGGCTGCATACGAAGGTCTGCCACCCCTTTGCCTCAAAACTCAGGGTGTTTCTGTGAATAGCCACCCCTGCTGCAATCCATGGTAGTGGTGGCCTAGGAGCTACTAATATCTCTGCTAACCAGAGACGGGCTGCCTCCCCGAGTGCACACTTCTCCAAGTATTGTGTGGACTCGACATCCTCAAACCCCAAGTAGGTGTTCAGTGTGTGCAGGTCAAATCGCACCTTCAGATTCCTCACTTTGGTCACTTTGGTCCCTTTATTTATGTGTGCCATATTGGCGTAAAATTCCCGGACCAGATACTCCTTTGCGTCCACTACACTCTAGGTGAACCACATCTACCTCTTCCGCTCTCGGAACTACCTCAAGACTGCCGGATTGTACTTTTCAAGGTCTTTTAATTGGAGCTGTCGCTCAAGAGTGAGTGATCTTGTAGGCCACCACTCACGATAACTGGAGAAAGTAGCCAAACTGACAAATCGGTCTTCCCAGACCTCTTTCTTCTTTGACCGCTCAAGGTCGGCGACTATTGCATCTCCCCCTCGACCATCATCCAGAATATCATCAACTAAAGTGTTTGGTGCCTCAGGGACAGGTTTAGATGAGGGCTCGGAATCCTAACTAGCACTCTCCGACCCCTCGGAGGTGCTATATGACATGGAAGGCTCGTCTCGGAGTTGATACCTCCCCGGTGATTGTGATTGGACAGCCGACTGCTCTTGGATCGAGTTGCCCTCCAAAGCTTCCCTAGATGGGGCATAAGAACTGGATTCGGAGGGCTCTGCACCTTGCCCTCTGCTTAATGCTATTTTCTTTCTACTGTCGGGCTGTTGGCAGCTAGGCAAGGGTCTTTTCCTCCGTCCCCGAGACGGGTCACCCCTTCCCTTTGAAGTGTCGCCTCTTCCTCTAGATCGAACCATGTTCCGTACCAAGCAAAAGCAGGTGTCAGTTGCAATTCAATTGTAAACATGTAAGAACACACCAGAGAGACAGTGCACAACACAGTGTAAAACATGATTGCAGTGTAAAGAATTACGGTCCGCAGAATTTCTATTGTCGCCGCAGATTGGGCATTACGGACCACATGTTTTTCCTTTGCAGTCGCAGACTTGGATTGCGGTCGCATAATTTTCATTGCGGCCTCACATCAGATTCCCAAAATTCCAACTCTCTGAAGACAATGATTGGGCTGTTTTGCAGCCGCACACACTTTTCTTCGGCCGGGATGGGATTTCTGCGGTCCACACAATTTCAAGTGCGGCCGCAGAATCACGTGTGAACAATGTACCTTATGCTTAACTTCTGCGGACCGTACAATTTCTCGTGCGGCCGCGGAATACAAAATATTTACGCACAGAGGGCTAGGGTTTTCAATTGTCTTGCACAAATTCGAAATGGTATTAACAATTAAGCATGAAAATCAAGTTACGCATTCCCCATAGAGAAATTATCAGTCTACCCACAACATATTCGCCCCACAACAATATTCACATAGATTCATAGAAAAATGGTTCCAAATTTTACTAAAAATCTAAAAATGTAAAGAAGTTAATCAAGATGATGATGCATAGCAGAGGTGAGTGAATGCAACAGATGAGTGATCAACAGTTTTTATGCTTGTGAGCGGCCACTTTAACAAGAAATTTCAATTTTTAGAATTTTGAGAGATTAGAGAGGGAGAAAAAATTGTACAGTGACCCTAAGGTTACTATTTATACTGACGGGTCTGGCTTGAGGGACAAAGGGACGAGTGCGGCCACAGAATTCCTCCTGCGGTCCGCACTCTGTTAACTGAGGCTCAAAGGCCTTTGTTGATCTGCGGTCCGCAGATATTTGTTGCGGACTGCATATTTTCTTGTGTGGCCTCACTTTGGCCATTTCGCTGACAAAACAAACTTCAGAGAGTTTGCATTTTCCCTTTTCAATGTGTGTGGTCCTAGCCTAGATTTTACGGCCGCACAATTCATGTGCGAACCGCACTTTGCACCTTTCTCTGCTGACCTTTCCTTCATACTCTGCGGGCATATATGATATTCTGCGGTCCGCACTTCTGAGCTTCTGCACCCTTTTTTGTCCTTGAGTTCAGATTACTCCTTCTTGAATTGGATTTCATCTCGGGAGTTCATCTTCTAATATTCCTGCAATTAAGCACATTTTATCAATTTTCGGGAACACAATTAAATGCTTTTAGACTAAAATAAAAGCTAAAAAGCGCTAATAAATAGTCAAAATCTCACTTATCAGTGCTTCTCTTACTTTGAAACTTATTTTTTATTTATAAATTATAAGAGCATGGAGAATTGAAGATGGATGTTATATGATTTTATTTAGGTTTAAAATTTTTGGTTCAAGAATCACAGTAAAGGCATTCTTGGTAGCCCCAAATCTATTATCCAAATGATTTTGTTTAAGTTGAGCTTCTATTTTCTCTGAAATTTAGTGCTCTCTTAATTTTTTGCTGTTTAACTCTAAGAATGGGTTGTTTAAGAATGGCTTCTCTTTAAGAAAATGTTTACGTTTACCATTCTTGATATACAAAAAGAAGTAAATTAAGTATTTTGAGAAGCACTAATTTCAATTACACAGTGCTAGCAACCAACACTATATTTAAATGCAACATAGCTAGAATTTACAAGTAAATGTCAGTGAAGATATCAAGTAGTCCTTCTATTGAGTTGTAGTATTAGTATTCAATAAGTTGTAGTATTTATTTTATTCTTGATAAAAGGGGTGTGATTGCTCTATTGATATTGTGTTTGTTTGTATTCTTGATAGACTCTTAAATTTATTGGACTCGTTTTTTTGTAGGAAGTTCTTGTTCTTATGAATTGAGATGGACGTATTTTTGACGAAGTTTAATTCTTCTCAACCAAGTTCTACTCTTAGAAACAATTCCTCCCATCTTATAGATGAGTTTGATGAGAAATTACTCAATCCGATCCTGGAGAGAGAGTACCCATTGATAAATATAGTCCTAAAGTACGAGATAAAGTAAGAAGATACTACATTTAAAGTGGACCTTGCCAATCAGTTGATCATAAGTTTCCTAAAACTTTATTCGGGAATAAAATGCGTCAATTTAGTCTAGGTTGGTTTAAGGATTCGTATTCTAGATGGTTGAGTATAGTATGAAGAAACATGCCGCATTTCTTTTATGTTGTTATTTATTCAATAATGATTATATTCATGGAAGCACGGGTGACTTTTTCACAAAACCGGGCTTTAAGGCTTGGAATAAAGCTTCGGAAAGACTTGCTTTACATGTTGGTCAAGTAAAAAGCCGCCACCACAAGTGTTTCAACAAGATGCTAGACTTATCAAATCAATGCCAATCAGTTCAAGTTGCTTTTGATAAGAAATCTGAGAAACAAAGTAATGAGCACCGAATTCGTTTAAATGCATCAATCAATGTTGCAAGGTTCCTCTTGTACTTTGGATTGTCTTTTCGAGGTCATGATAAAAGTGATTCTTCAAAAAATAAATGCCTTTTTAGGGCTTTTAGAATGTCTTGCAAATAGGCTCCCTCAAATAGATAGAGTCATATTGAAACATGCTCCAAAAAATGATACATGACTTCGCCAAAAATGCAAAAGGACACTGTGAGTGTTGGTGCACAAGAAACCATGAAAGCTATAATTAATGATTTAGATGGGGATTATTTTGAGATATTAGTTTATGAGTCCAAGGATATTTCACACCATGAACAAATGGACCTTGTTTTGCGGTTTGTTGACAAAAAATGCCAAATGAACAAGCCATTTATTGGTCTTGTTCGTGTTGGTGATACCTCTGCAAAGTCTTTGAAGGAAGAAATACTTTCTTTGCTTATGAAACACACATTAAGTCCATCCAAAATACGTGGACAAGGCTATGATGGAGCTAGTAATATGCAAGGAAAAATGAATGATTTGAAAGCTTTAATTTTGCAAGAAACTCCTTCGGCACATTGCATTCATTGTTTTGCTCATCAATTACAGTTGAGGCTTGTAGCGGTTGCTAATAAAATATAAAGAGGTGGAACTTTCTTTGCTATAGTTGCTAATGTGTTGAAGGTGATTGGAGTGTATCCTTTAAACGTAGAGATCAACTTTGGGACCATCAAACAGAATTATTGGAGCGGTTGCTAGAGAGTGGTGAAGTTCAAAGTGGCAAAGGATTAAATCAAGAACGAGCGCTTCAAAGGCCATGTCACGACCCAAAATCCACTAAGGGTCGTGATGGCGCCGGACACGGCTGTCAGGCAAGCCAACCAAATTACCTAATCAAATTCTCGTTTTAATACTTCTGAAATCTATGATTTTCCTTCAAATTTAGCAATTTTTAAAGAAAATAATCTCAAATCAAATTTAAATGATAAGCAGTCAATATTATATTCAAACCATCCCAGAACCCGGTGTCACAAGTGCATGAGCATCTACTGATAAGGAAATAAAATACAACATCTGTCCGGAATACAATGGACAGGAAATAAATACAATGTACTGAAGAGGGCTATACTAGCTGCGGGCTGCCTCGAATAATGCAACTCACCTAGCCCCAAATCATCCGCGCTGCTACGCCCAGTGGGCTGCTAGAGATAAATATACCTGTGCAACAAAAATGCACAGAAGTGTAGTATGAGTACGTAAACAACGTGTACTCAATGAGTATCCCGCCTAATCTCGAAGAAGTAGAGACGAGATGGTCGACTTAGACACTTACTAATGGTCCAATAGTGAGGTCAGCAATACACTAAATTATGGATTTCTATAAACATGATTTCTATCCAAATAGGAGGGAACAAGTAAACAATTAACTCTTTTACAGAAAATTTCTAAAATTCCTTTTCGTAATTATCCAAATAATTTCAAGCCATGAAGAGGCAATAATAACTTAATCAAGTTCAAGGCAGCAATACAAGCATGCGCATATCATGCCGAGGCGACGGCCCGATCCAACAGAAATAAATGTGCACTTGCTGAGGGTCGACGACGCGCCTATAGATGCATCTATTTAATCTGCCGAGGCGTTCGGCCCGTTCCAAAATAAACACGTAGAGACATTCAATCAAGAAGCCAACATGGGGCAATTATTCAAAGAAAAGCTAATTCTCTTCCAACAATTTAAGAAAATGAGGTTTAGGTCTTGTTAGAAATTCATTTACCATTTTGATGTGGTTTAAGCAATTTAACTAACCATAAGATCACAAATATTCAAAGTATAGCATGCTTTTGGGTCCTAGACTACCCGGACAATAGCATAATAGTAGCTACGCACGGACACTCGTCACCTCGTGCGTACGTAGCCCCTGCAATTAGGAGCACATAATCAATTATTTCACCTATGGGGACAATTCCCTCTTGCAAGGTTAGAAAGGAGACTCACCTCGCTCCGAAGATCCATAATCGGCATTCCACGCCCTTCCGAAGACTCTAGTTGATGCACCACGCTCCAAAACTAGCCAACGGTTACGCAAATCCATTAATATATGCTCAAATATTCATTACAAACTAGTTTATAGCAATTCCTAACTCCGATCGAAAAGTTGACCAAAACGCCCTCGGGCCCACGTGCCCGGAATCCGAAATTTTTCGAAGATAAAGATTACCCATGACCTTAGGAACTCAAATATATAATTTTCTCTCAATTCCATACTCAAAATCGTGGCTAAATCCCAAGATTACTAATTTTCTAGGTTTTCCACCAAAACCTCAAATTTATACAATTTTCCAAGTCTAAATCCATATATAAACCTTGTATTTAACTCCAAGCTAGCATAAATTACTTACCTCATGACAAGTGACGAAAATGGCACCTCAAAGCTGCTCCACATCGACTCCAATGGAAGAAAAATGGGGTTGAAATTAACTCAACCCCGAACTTAAAAGACCTCACTGCTTCAGCTGTTTCCGCACCTGCGGTTCCTTGGCCGCTTCTGCGGTTCCGCAGGTGCGGTTAAAATGCCTCATCTGCGGTATTCCCTGAGTCACCCCTTTCTCGCTTTTGCGACTTGCCACCCGCAGATGCGGTCCCGCTTCTGCGGAACTTTGACCGCATCTGCGGTCCTCTCCAAGATACTCCCATCCGCTTCTGCGACCCTTTCTCCGCAGATGCGGTCCCGCTTCTGCGGTACTTTGACTGCATCTGCGGTCCTCAAGTCTTAGACCAAAACCCGCTTCTGCGGCTCCCTGTCCGCTTCTGCGGTGCCGCTTCTGCGGTCAACCCACCACAGAAGCGAAAATACCAGCAACCAGATTCCTTCAGCTGTCCAAAAATCCAAATTTCGATCCGTTAACCACCCGGAATCCACCCGAGGCCCCCGGGACCCCAACCAATCATACCAACTAGTCTCAAAACACATTACGGACTTGCTCGAGGCCTCAAATCATATCAAACAACACCAAAATCGTGAATCGACCCCCAATCCAAGCTTTATGAACTTTAGAACTTCTAACTTCTACTTCCGATGCTTAAACTTATCAAATCACGTCCGATTGACCTCAAATTTTGTGCACAAGTCATATTTGACATTACGGACCTACTCCAACTGAATCGAATTCCGACCCCGATATCAAAAAGTACACTTCCGGTCAAACTTCTCAAAAACCTTCAAATTTCTATCTTTAGCCAAATGGCTACAAAATGACCTACGGACCTCCGAATTCACTTCCGATCGCGCTCCCAACTCTAGAATCACCATACGGAGCTATTCACAGTCTCGGAATCCCAAACGAACATCGATAATACTGAAATGCACTTCAAGCCAAACTTATGAAATTTCTTCAAAAATGCTAACTTCTACAATAGGCGCCAAAACGTCCCCGGGTTACCCAAAATCCAAACCGGGCATACGCCCAAGTCCGAAATCATCATACAAACCTGTTGAAACCTTCAGATCCCGATTCCGAGGTCGTTTACTTAAAATTTTAATCCTTGTTCATTCTTTCAACTTTAAGCTTTCGAAATGAGAATTCTCTTTCCAAATAAACTCTGGACTTCCCGAAATTCAATTCCGACCACGCGCACAAGTCATAATACCTGAAATGAAGCTGCTCGTGGCCTCGAGCTGCTGAACGGAGCGCTAGGACTCAAAACAACCGGCCGGGTCATTACAGGCCAGGTGACACTCGTTGGGGGATCACATTGTAAAACATTAGATAACTTTGTTGTTTTATTTGCATCTATTGTTCATGTGCTTGGGGTGATTGAATATGAAGGTTCTGAGGCTAATGATAGATTGCAAGCAGAAGCTTTTTTGAGTAAAATCAATTCGTTTGAATTTGTGTTCATGTTTCACTTGATGTTGAAGGTGTTGTTGATGTAGAACGAGCTGAGTAAAGCTTTACAGAAGAAAGAGCAAGATATTGTTAATGCCATGTTATTTCTTGACTTTACAAAGGAAAGGTTGCAACAAATGAGAGATGAAGGATGGAATCATTAATGGATGAAGTCTCTTTATTTTGTGCTAAACATTATATTTTGGTGCCCAATGTGGAAGAATTCTATATTCCTGGAAAGTCGAAGTGTAGGCCTTCTGGTGTTACTTATTCAAATCACTTACGTGTTGAGCTTTTTTTATATAGTGATTGATTTGCAACTTTAGGAGCTTAACAGTCGTTTTGATGTTGTTAGTAGTAACTTGCTTCTTGGTACGGCTAGCTTGAATCCGGCTAATTCATTTGCTAATCTTGATAAGGAAAGAATAATGACATTGGCCAAGGATTATCCAGATGAGTTTGGTGAATTGAAGCTTCGAGATCTTAGCACCAACTTGACACTTTCATATTGCACATGAAACATGGTGACCTTAGATTCTCGGATTTGAAAGGAATTGGTGATTTGGCAAAAGCGTTGGTTGAAGCAAATCTTGTGGAGACATATTCACTTGTTTATTTACTTGTGAAGTTGACTCTAATTTTACCTGTCGTGACTTCAACAGTAGCATTCTCATTCTCATTCATGAAGTACATCAAAGATGAATTGCGTATTAGTATTGGTGATGCATTTTTAAATGATTGTATAGTTTGTTACGTTGAAAAAGAAGTATTTGCAAATGTAAGCAATGATGCTATTATTGACCGTTTTCAGAGTATGAGAATGCGTCGAGTTCAAGTATAAGTGGATGATGTACTTTTGTTATATTTGTATCAATTAAAGATATTCTATAACATTGAAGTTTGTATTTTGATGTAAGTTGTGTCTTCTTTAGTTCTCTCTTTGGGACAACTGTAGATTACTGTTAGTATGTCATGAATTGCTATTACGGCCACTAAGCTTGTTTTACATTTTAAAGTTTATTCCAGTTTAGTCCATGCGTGCGCAAGGATGTGCAGGAATTTTTTTTCTTGGAATACTTATTTTAAAATTTGTGTTCGTAGGTCAACTGGAGAGATTGATGAAATTGAAGTTTGTGTTCGCAGGTCAATTGGGGAGTCTGATGAAATCAAAGCCTAAGCTCTTCTTACTTTATTTTAGTTTTGTGCTTAGCAAGTTTATACTATATAGTGGATTATGCTGCTTATTTACTGGTCTATCCTAAAGTTTATATATATTCTTTTATTGGCTAATAAAGTTTTGGGTAATTCACACTAATGATAATGGTGTCCCCTTCATACTCAAATCTTGGGTCCGCCTCTGGATGACCACCTCTAACAAACTTAACCGAAGGGGTATATTTAAATCAATAGTATTACGACAAAGGTATATTTGGACGCAAATTATAACGAAGGATACAAAGGCATATTTTGCCCACTGCCGATAAAAATATAACTTTATTGTGCAATTTATTAGATGACCATACGAGCATTCAAACTCCTTGAACTTTTCCTTTCCGTACGAACAAGTCGTTTCTGCATCCATTTCCTTTCTTTAATTAGATGGGTCCAAAAAATTTTGAATTACAAAGTTGAAATATAAAGTTGCCTTTCTATTGGGCCTAGTGGACAAGATAATCCACGTGGCAACAACTTATTGGACTTACTCGTTATATAGGAGAAAAGTAACGAAAGTCTTCAGAGAAGTTGACAGAGTAAACGACAAAAGTCTGCTGCGTTACTTAGGCAAGAAGAAGAGATGATTGATTGAGAAAATCCATTGCCAGTTTAACAACTCCACCTAACCAATCTCTAAATAAACCTTGTAACGTCGTCGTTTCTCGCTTTCCCTCAACTTCCTCGTCTCGTCTCCGGTCACTGTTACGGTGGTAAACCGTTACGCGCAATTGCCAACTGTGTTGTTGACCGTTCAACTCTGTTTGAACAAAAAAGAAAAACGTTGGAATTTCAAGTGTTTGGTGGAAGAAAATTCTTGAGGCCTAGTTTGTTTGTAGGAGCAGAAATAGTTGAAGCTTTTGGAGGGTTTAAGCAATTGGGGTTGGCAGAAAAACAAGAGGATGAATCCGAATTGGGAACTCAGAGATTGTTGTAACCGTGATCAAAGGATCTTTCTTATTACCATTGGTGTATTCACCGTCGTCATTCTTGTCGTACGTAGAACTCTGTCTCTTTCTCTCTACACTTTTTTGGTTTTTACATTATGCTTTAGTATGTTGCTCCTTTTTGGATCAAATGTTGCTCTTAATTAGTAGATCGAGACCTGAAAGCAAAGAGCTTTAGGCTAACTTTTGGTAGTTATATGTTCCTGCCTTTTTGTGTCTAACTAGGAGAGCAATGCACGGATTCAGAATTTCAACTTTATGAGTTAAGGATGCCACTGACCATTTGAGTTACCGAGTTCGAGATTTGATATTTATACATATTTAGTAGATTCCTAAACACATACAGGGTCTGAGCCAAAGCTATTGGTTCTGCTGAACCCATAGCTTGTACTTTATATCTGCTCATGTCAAGATTACTGGTATTGTTTGATAGAAAAGTGACAAATGGAATTTATATATAAAAAAAAATAATAGACGTTTTAAAGCCTAAAATTTGACATTTTAAAGTTGGCTGTGTATAAACAATGTCAATAGTTTCGAAGCTTCAGAATAATATCCTTGGCCTTTATTTGCTTCATTTTGTGATAAAATTATGAAGTTCAGGGGTAAAAGGGAATGGCTAAAAATGATTATGAAAATAGGATTCAGTTTTGAAAGGAGGAGCATGTTTTTATGCCCTCAGTGAGTGAAGTCTATCTTTGTGTCGTTCTGCTTTGGTCCTTACCGGTTGACACCCTATGAAATTACTGATAGAGCGGTGGTTATTAGGAATTGGTTAGTCTAGGAGTCTTGTTCTCATTTATGGGATTGTTGATAGGATCTACTATTAAGTTAACAGTTTAGCTAGCTCACAGGGGTATAGCCTAGCAGTTGATGAAACTGGAAAGAAACCACAGAAGACCCGGGTTTGAATCCAGTATAGACAACAAATTTGCGTGAATTTTTCCATCTGGTGAAACCTTGGTGGCTAGTGATACCTGATATGCATACTGGTTGGAGGATGTATAAATTCAATAAAGTAGTCAAGGTGCACACACATTTCATAAATTAAAGTAGAGAGTGAATTTAGCTATTAAAGCCAACATAGCCTTCACCCCTATGGCTTCATTTCTCCCCCCCCCCCCCCCCTACCATTCATTGCACTTCCTCATAACGTATATATAAATATCAGTGTGTGTATTATGTGTGTATGTAAGTATAAACGTTGATACAATGATTCGTGAGATTTTCAAACAGGTAGTTATAATCTTCACTTTTCCTGCACTGCATGAAGTGATGAAAACCTCAAAATGAGGATCCAAAATTGAAAACATATAGAAATAATATCACTTGATTAGAATTTTGTGTTATTTCATTAAGTTAGAGTGGCTTTAGGGTGGCTATTGCTTGGCAATTCATGAAACTCTTTAGCAAGAATTTTGGTTGGCTGATACGATGTGTGTCATCAAAGTGTTCAAAAGGTTATCTTATAAGTTATAAGTAATAACTCAAAATCCTGATCCAATAATGTTTTAGATGGGAAAATTTGTCCACCTGTTGTTTGTTCAATGTCATATATAGCGTAAACTAGTTCTACATTTTTTAAGAAAACCAAAAGTGCTGAGGTACTTCACCATGTCTGACCAAATATCCTTTAGGATCGAGGATCACTTGCTCGGTAACCTACTGCTATATCCTCATGTAGTTGAGCTTTTGTAATTGTTAAAAATATTTACTGAAGTTACTATTTCCTAGAAATGTTTATAAGTTACAACACTGCGCTCATCTCAGAAGCGTATGTGTAAATTTCTTCGAGGTGGTAGTGGTACATAACCTTGATATATCTAGTATGATCATCAGAGGCGGATGTAGCCTTTTGGCTATAGGTTCATTCGAGTCCAGAAATTTCGACATGAAGTATAGATAAACATGTAAAAACCTACGAAAATCTCAATGAATGTTAGATCTGGACCTATAATTCTAACTATTCAGTGCAAGGTTTGAACCCATTAAATTTTAATACAGGATATGCTTCTGATGATAATCATAACACCTCATCTGTTACGGTGAGCTGTTGCTGGTTTTCTTGGGAATAAAATAAGATGTTTGAGCCTTTGAGGTTGCCAGCATTAACAAAATGCAATACCATGTCATGTGCAAATGATATACTAGATTTTTGTTTTACTTATTATACCTACCATAGAGTGTCCACAAATGTTCTCATGTGAGCATTTGCTAATCTTTTTTTTACCTCTGTCTGCCTTTTATGTAAAAAAATTGCATATTCATTTTGCTTCTTTTTTGTCCTAAATATCAAAACAGTTATGGAGGACATTTCTCCTGACACCTTTCAAGCTCATTACTGTATTTCTTCACGAAGCAAGCCATGCAATCGCTTGTAAGCTCACATGTGGTCAGGTAATTCTCTCTTGTCATGTATTTAGATGCATTAGATGTTTAATTCAAGAGATTAGTTGTACATTTGGTAGATACCTGTCTAATTTGTTCTATTATTTTGTATGACGGTTTATGCCTTCAACTGCTTCAATTGGTAGCAAAAATACTTCCTTATTTCTGATGTTGATGGAATGCAGTTCTGTAGGATTGGTTGAATTTTTCTGCTCTTTGGTTCTAATAAAGAGATTTAAGATGTCAATATTGACAGGAATCCACCGGTGAAGACTTTAATTAATTCACGACATACATTCACTTCAGAAAGCTCAAAGCCATGGAGATGAATTTGACTTTTTCTCTTTAACTTCATGTTTCCTTCTTTTGCTCTTTTATTTAGTCTTTTTTTTAGAATGGTACCAAAATGATGACTAGATTTCTTGTCTTTAGAAAGTCCTTTGAGATTTTGAGTTGTAGTTTTTTAGAGGTTATTGAGTTCCTGGATTATCTGGGTAGTCCTATAAGCAATTTACCAAACTCACTAATTATAATTAGCCAACAGTTCTCAAGCATAATCTAATTTGCCATTAATAGGTGTAAAACTCCATAATTGTTCGAGCTAAAATATAGTGCTAAAATTTAAAAATTGAGAAAAATAATACTAAAATGATAAATTGCTCATATATTTGTTGATGTTATCAAAACATAATGGCCATGTAACTTACTTGTCAAGAAAAAGTAATTACTTATTATTCCATGTTGCTAAGTCAACGAGAATGATGGGGCATGGTTTAACTATGATGCCATGCTAAATCATAGCACACGATTTGGTTTCCCTGGTCAATTCAAGTTCAAAACTATCTAGTAAATGCTGAGACATGTGAATTCGTATTCTAAACGACTCGTTTTCTGGTGTACCACTACATACAGGTGGAAGGAATGCAAGTTCATGCCAATGAAGGGGGAGTGACACAAACACGTGGCGGTGTTTATTGGTTGATCTTGCCTGCTGGATGTAATTACTTTCTTTTGAGAAGTTCCAAAATCTCACTGCACTGAAGTGCTTCCTAGTTTTGTTGTCTAAAAGACAAATGAAGTATCCCCTACCCAAGTTCCCAGTTGATGATGCGTTTAAACTTACTTTTCTATATGTCGATTGCTTTGTCAATTTAACTTCTGGCTACCTTTTATTTTTCTGATTAATTTTGTGCTTTCCTGAAGATCTTGGTTCGTCTTTTTGGGGGATGGTTCTCATACTTGCATCGACAAATCTTCTCACTGCAAAGATTGCCGCTGGTTGTTTCATCGCTGCTCTTTTTATCGTGCTCTTCATCGCCAAAAATGTACGGGGCCAAGTAAAAGAACTTGAATTCAATCTTGTACAATGACTGTAGATAGTTCAGTCTTTACATTAAACTTTTCACAAGATAGGATAATATGTATACATGTATACATTCACAAATTTTATGATGTAAATCTTGTCTAATGTTAAAAAAAAAAAAGTTCTGGAATCTTACATGCTTTACTTTTGTGAACAGTGGACACTGCGAGGACTTTGCATCGGTTTGTACATTCAGGATCTTGATTATTGTCAATACTTGAGATACATTTGTTTTATGCTTAGTCATTGATCCCCACAGACTCGACTTGCCAGGATTTATCATTTTCATTGCTGTAATATGGGTTCTGCAAGAACTAACAAAAGTTCGCATTCTTCGCTACGTAATTCTCTTCATAGGTATGGACTTATCCTTTTCCCCTCCCTCTCTCCATTTTAAATTTGGTTGTTGTGTTACTAACGTTGGTTCTGGTGAATTGCAGGTGTTATGAACAGCTTGTTTTCAGTTTATGGTAAAAACTATTCATTCTACAGGATTTAATTTTTCCCTGGTGGCATGATACGATCTGACAAATATATGACAATGCAGATATATATGATGACTTAATATCTAGAAGAGTGCACTCAAGTGATGCTGAGAAGTTTGCTGAACTCTGTCCCTGTCCTTGTAATGGTGTTGGTTGGGGAGTTATCTGGTTAGCATTGGCTTCAATGCAAATCTTAACTAAAGAGTGTGAGGAGTTTTTGTCATCATTTGTGAATCACAATCCTTCTGTTTCTTGGACTATTTTTCAGGGGAATGATATCTTTTATATTTCTTTGTGGAGCGATGTACCTTGGACTTGTCATTCTCTCATGAGGTATTGTCTTCTTTAGTGATCTTAATTATCCCTTTACCCTTCTGGTTTTATCGATTGTTATCTGATTTTTATTTAAATCCAAGTACTAAGCTACAAGTTTAGTGATACAATACTAACCTTCTAGTATATAGTTAGATACTAAAAGTTTACCAGGTTCCCAATCAGTTAATAAATTTTTATGTTCATAAATAGTTTAACAGTAGTTTAATCACGTTCCCTAGGACCTTGTAGTTTACAAGTAATTATACTACTGAATGATTTTGCATATATAGCTCTGGTAGTTAATGTACCTTATTTTTCTGTATACATCTGGTAGTTATTTTTGCAAACAACTAATAGGAATGAATCGAAGTGCACCTACCTCCTAGTTAACCATTCTCAATTTCCCATTTTAATTTTGTGAAGTCATTCTAAAGAACAAGATTATAGTCATCAGGCTTAATCCATCTCCCGAATCCTGAGCTACTGTTTCTATCATATTAACTCCATACAGATTCATCTTGAAAGCCTCCATATATATTTCAAAACCATCTCCTGTTCCTACAAGCTGTTAAACTTAACTTCTAACATATTTCAGATACCTCGGGATATGTCATTTTGTCCTCCATTCTTTATCGCATCAACCATTTTGGTGCTCTCTCAATGTCAGTTTGTTGTTGATTGTCCTTTTCCGTTTTCCTTTTTTTCTCTTTTGGATGAAGGTTGTTTCTGAACGTCCTTTGTAAGTCTATAGTTTTGTGGATACCCAACCTTAAAGTATTTTAAGTGGGAAAAATGAATAGTTAGGTAACGGAAAATTAAGGACCTGGATATGTATTTTTTTTGGAGAGACAAGCTTGATCAACTAAGAAACTGTAAGAACTACAGCTGCTCCCCCCTCAACCAAATGCACTATTCAACCTTCTTTGGGCATGGGTGCCAACAGTTTATTATATCAGTTTTAGAAAATATGTACATAAAATATCTAATTTTGCGGAAAGACCACGGGTTCACGTGTCCCATAATGTTGCCTATAAATCCTGACCCCCGCCCCCCCCCCCCCGCGCGCGCGTGCGCTTAATAGTCCACAGCCTTAGGATTCACTCGAGGCATTTGCAATTCTCCAAGTGAATTAATGCTTAATCATGTTGACAGTGTTTGCTATGAGCTTTTATATTCTGTTTACAGATCTGTGTATACCAGTAAAAATTTTGGAGTACCTTTATTGTAAGAAAAACTCAAACTATTTAATACTCGAATGGAGTGTGTCCAAATCGAGTGAAATGTATGTTGAGGATTCATATAGTCGATTCCAACTAGCTTGGGATAGAGACATAGTTTTTTGGTAGGAACCTTATTTGCTTAGCTTTTCATTCAGTCTTTGTCTTATTTTCCTCGTTCGACTTCTTCACGATCTGATTCTGATTATGTTCATCTTTTCAGGTTCATTCAGATGAATTTGAGGGCCTTAAAATCCTGAAGATAGTTGCAGTTATTGCTCACATATTCTTTTCCATTCCTTTCAATGCTGTTGTATAGCTTTTAGACATCAACCATTAGATTCAGACATTTATTTTTTGCCATCACTAAACCAGTGGCCTTATTCTTTCACACCCTTTCTTGGATGTGGTTAACATAGTCATGAGTTTGAGGTAATTGAAAATTGATTATTTAGCATTATACTCAAGTTTAGCATTTGTTGCACGTTTTTAATGCCTAAATATGATACGTAGCTAGCGTTTGGACATAAATTTGATTGAAACTTGAAACAAGAGTTTTTAAGTAGTGTTGAAAAATAATTTTTGGAAGTTAAAGTTGTGTTTTGGACATGCATTTTAATTGAAGAAAAGTTGAGTCTTTGTGAGTGGAAGAAAAAACTTCACCCAAAAATTACCCTAAACCAGTTTTTGGGAACTTGAAATATTTTCTCCCAAAACATGATCATATTTCATAAACAAACAATGTTTTCAATTTTTGTTGAAAAAATGAAACCAAAATCCATGGCCAAACAGGAGCTTGATAGCCCCTATGATGTTGTTTAAGTTCGTCAAACTAGGTTATACACACTTTTTAAAGCTTGTATACGCCCTTTGGTAGACACCAAAATTGCTTATCACTCATGTGCGTACGTATATGTACAATTTTTATATGTTTATATGCATTTTTGGATTAATCAAGATTTTTATTATTTGTAGTAATTACTAATATTTGGTGTAATCTTGGAAATACCTTTCCAAAAAACAAAACACCTACTTGTCTATTCTATTTTTCATTTTTTGCCGACCCCCCCCCCCCCCCGCCCCCTAGAAGGAGTCCGGAACCTAAATGTTGCTTTTGTGGACTCAGAAGACTGAAATAAGTGGAAAATAAATTAGTGACCAAACTAATATAATGCGGTTTTAAAGTGCGCTTTACTTTAACGCCTGTTTTGGACGTCAAGGTAAAGTGCGTTTTGCGTTTTATATAAAGCGCTTTTATGAAATACGCCTTATTTATTTTGTGGACCCACCAATAACTCTTCTGCGCTTAACTGACGTAACATAATTCAAATATGTAAAACGTATTTTAAAAAGGCGTTATACCTCAAAAAATTCGACCCTCCCCCCCCCCCTCCGGATTGGGTATTGCCTTATTTAAAGGCATTAAGGATTTTTGCAAAAATCCATTCAGAAATATTCTCCTGTTAAATTTTCTTCTTGTTAAATTCTCAAGCATTTTGTCATAATGTCTGAAAAGCGAAAAGTAAGGGTTTCATTATATTGGGGAGTGAGGTTGTGATGGCTAATAACTTAGTGAGCTATAGTTTATCTCCACAGAGTCATGTTAAGTTGCCACTTACAATGGAGTACAATAGACTGGTATCCATGTTGCGTAATAAAATGAGTGCGAGCAAACGTTCGGTGAACCTTAAAATAATCGGAAGATATCCGTATTCTATCATTCCGCTAGGGGTTGCTTATTACGTTGAGTTCTAACATCAAGGATGATGAAACTCTGAGAGATTTTTGAGGACTCCGGATGAATACCGGGAATTAATTTTGATAAAATGTTGGAAATATACGTGAAGATTGAAGACGTTCGCAATAATGAGGTTGCGCAAAGCAGGGAACCCTCAATCATCGGGTGGTTATTCTGGAGCAGTTTTAGCCGAACAGGTACCGGCTGAAAGAGTTTTGCCGAATCTAAACTTATCTCCACGGGCAAATGAGGAGCGAGGAAATATTTTCTCTCCTACTTTACATAATCCACAAGACGAGTGGTAAACTTCAATTTTCCTTTGTGTTACGATGTTTATTTTTGTTGTATTGATTTTGTATTAACACTCATATATTCCACAGGGGGTACTGTCCAGATATGAATTTTACAAGTTATGAACCCACGCCCAGTTGGAATATGCGTAGTTTTGGTCTGTTGGATCATGATGATCCATCCCGGAGTCATCACCAACAGGATAATGTCCATCATGGAATGTCAACACAATACGACTTGTAAGTGAAGTGATATAGCTATATGTAAAGTATTTATCAATTTGAGTAGCTTATTATTTTGTTGTTTGTGTAGTGAAAACAAGCAACTTGATGGTCCTGTCCTCACTCAGTTGCCCGTAGACAACGTATTTACTCGGGATTTGGAAGATGCGCAGAGTCAGGAAGATAATAGTGATTATGACAACAATGCCGACGAGTCTGAAGATGACACACCCTTCCCTGACGAGGGTGATGATGAGGAGGAAGAGAATGCCGAACCTGATTGTGCATGCTCCACCTCTCGTTAGATCAAGAGTGTACGAGTCCCACGTGCCGTTTCATTCAAGTCATATTCCCTACCTTGATCATTTGCCAAGTATGCCGGATGTGGATGCCCTTACAAGGGATTTTGACGAAATTCGGACAACAATGTGGGATGAGTCTAGACCAACGGTGCTGGCAAAGGGCATGCTTTTTCCTGATAAAGCGCGCCTAAGCAAGGCGGCGAAAATGTACAGCGTAAAAGAGTGTCATGAGATGATGGTATGGGAGTCAAGTCCGGATGTATACAAGGTTGTTTGCCGTAGATGGTTTACGGGTTGTCATTGGATGCTGCGTGCAAGCAAGAAGAAAATAGGTATGTGGAAAGTGGGTAAATATATTGGCACCTACATTTGTGAAATGGACACATTCAATGGGAATCACTTCAACTTGGATGTTGACTTGATTTCTCTTGTCCTGATTCCACACATTGAAGCGTCCATAAGGTACAAGATCGAAGAGTGCATTACATATGTCCACCAGTAATATGGCCATACCATTACCAAAAGAAAGGCATTTCTCGGGCGTAAACGTGCGTTTGAAATTGTTTATGGTAACTGGGATAAGTCATTTGCAGCTCTACCTAGGTACATGACCGCATTACAACACTTTAACCCCGGGACCTTTGTTGAATGGAAACTTGAGCGGAGTTCGGGAATACCGGAATATATATTCAAATACGTGTTTTGGGCATTTAAACCAGCAATTGATGGTTTTGTGCATTGCCGTCCGGTAATATCCATAGAGGGTACTCATGTCTATGGAAAGTATGATATTAAGTTGTTGATCGCCGTTGCAGTAGATGCCAATGGAAAAATATTTCCCCTAGCTTTTGCCATCTGTGCCAGTGAAAGCCAAGAGACGTGGACGCTATTTTTGAACCACTTGAAGGAACGCGTTGTCAAACAATGTTCTGGTATTTGTCTAATATCTGATCGGCATGGGGGTATATTAAGTTCTGTAGAGCATTTGCCTGAATGATAGGAACCGTATGCATACCACCGTCACTGTGTGAGGCACCTGAAGGCCAATTTCCAGAAGGCATATCCCAACAAGGATCTGCATGATGTAATGTGGATGGCTGCAACAGATCACCAAGAGCATAAATTCCGGATACACATGGAATCTATCAGGCAGGAAGACGAGGCAGCGTATCGTTGTTTACTGCGACATAAGCCTGAAAAGTGGACTTTGTATGCGGATGGTGGCAGAAGATGGGGAATTCTGACTACAAATGTGTCAGAGTCTTTCAATGGGTTATTGAAGTCTGCACGAGGATTGCATGTCACTGTCATGGTTCGGATGTCATTCAAGCAGATGGCGGAGAGGTTTGTTGAAAGGGCTGCAGCTGCAACGTCATTGATGGAAAGGGGTGTTGAATTTATTCCACTACCAATGAAAAGATTTGAGAAATACAGGCGGCGAGCACATTGGCATTCATTTTTACAGTATGATTACGACCGAAATATTTTTGAAGTTCGCACCGCTATCCATGAAAAAACCGTGGGAATAATGTACACACCATAAATGAATCTAGAAGGTTATACTCTTGCGGGAAATGGTCCGTCTACCACATGCCGTGCTCACATGCCATCAAGTGCTTTCAACATACAGGTTTAGGGCCAACCAACTATGTTGATAAACAATATAGTGTTGCTGCATACTTAAACACCAATAGTGGGCAGTTGCAGCCAGTGGGTGCTGAGCATTATTGGCCGCCAAAACCATTTAAAATGGTGTGTAACAAGGAGTTTTTTCGTTAATGACATGTGCAGAAAAGAACGCGTATACGGAACCAAATGGATGTTGATGATACCATTTATGCGCGTAAATGTGGCATATGCTCGCAAACAGGACACGACCGTCGTAAATGTTCTTCAGCTGGTTTGGGTGGCGGTGGTAATCCAGCTCCTGGTGGAAGTTCATCTAATGTGCCCAACTATCAAGGATACACGTAGTGTTTTGTTTTCGTAATGTGTTTTTAAGAAGTGTATGTACTTGTTTATCTTGCAGAATGTATGAAAGAAAATTATGTTTCCATTGCTGTTATATCTTTTTTATATTTAACATTAATATTTCAGTACAACAATCTAACATAAACCCATCTAAACAACCAGAAAAATTGTCATTCGCCACTATCGTCGCTGTCTGGCAATATTTCATTGTCACTGCCTTCACCCTTTTGCCTCTTTTTGAACCACTTGTTAAATGTTAGTGGCATTTTTTAATGGATGTTTTAATATTTATTCAAAAGGTCTTTGAGATACATATGACTTGGTTCAATTTAAGAATCTTTCTTATACCCGAAATAATGATTACCACGCGAAGCATAGCGCGGTTACATACCACGTTATGTGTATTGTCTTGTCAACCTGATAAAGCTGTCGTTCTGCAAAAGCTGTCTTCTGGAAAAGTTGTATTGTACCATAAAGAATCATTAGCACGTGAAGCATATCGCGATTACATACCACATTATGTGTATTGTCTTATCGAGCTGATAAAGTTGTCGTTCTGCAAAAGCTGCTCGCCTGGAAAAGTTGTATTGTACCGTAAAGAAACATTAGCACGCGAAGCATAACGCGGTTACATACCACGTTATGTGTGTTGCCTTGCCTATAAATAACCAGCGAATTTTAGTTATTATCTGTGCTTAACCAAAACAAATAGCAACACTTTCCATAAAGTAGGGTTGTTTTTTCATTAACAAATGTCTGAACGCATTTATGTACCAATGTGCTATTGTGGTAAATGCTCTATGGTGTTGGACTGTTGGGAGGATGGTCATGTTGGGCGCAAATACTGGATGTGTGTAAACAGGTTTGGAGGCAACAACGGAAATTATTGCAATTTTGAGGTATGGCTTGATAAACCCTGTAAGGAGGAATGCTACAAATGATCT